ATGTAATATAAAAATATATTATACTTTCTCTTTACTCTATTAATTTTCTGTTTTGTTCTGTATCACTATACAACAAAAATTCATAGGATAATTATCTTCAATCACTTTTTATTTTACTTTCTATGTTATTTTTTTGAAAATTTACATGAAAATATAAAATAAATTTTCAGTTATTTTGTTCACTTCGTTTTCAATATTTTGATATTATTAATATGTTAGCAAGCATATGTTATTGATAAGTTAATAATTGAATACTGCATAAACGGAAATCTCATTAATAACATTAATATAATTTCTTATTTATTCAGTATTAATATATACTTGTTACTTTATCATATTAACATTGATATTCGGTTTTTCAAAAGTTACATAGCCAATATAAAATTACACATGCACTTTAAAGTGACGTATGTACATATGTATAATTCTAATATTGGACAAAAACAAGAAACATTTGAAGTTAGTAAGCTTAAATGTAATTCTAACCTCATTTCACAAGATACTACTAAATGACACATTTATTTCGTTTGTTCATAAACTAATTGGTATTTCACCTCGTTCGTGGCTATCGCTGCATGTGACGACATTACTTGGAGAGACCATGGATAGCAGTGGGGGTAATGACGTCGTAGCTCTCGCTTGCTCCATTCACTGACCGGCCGTCGCCGTGAGTAGTCGTGAGTTTGTCCTGCTTTCTTCTGCACATCGATACCGTTCCAGGATCTAACGGAATATCCCGGAAGCGTGTTTTGGACTTTCATAGTTCTTTCTGTTCAGATTTTTTCAACAAATTGTTATAGATTTTTGTTATACGTGTAAAGGGTATTGACTTCGATCGACGTATTTTAATCAAAGCCTGGAATGTATTTGTGAAAGCTACTTATTCTTTCCATCTTTCTTCCTTTCGTGTCTTTGCACTGTGTGCGCGCGCCTACTCGTGTGTATGATTTGTGTACATAATAGTGTTTGTACGGATTCGAGAAGGTCTTTGGACGCGAAAGGATACGATCGATTACAATTCGTGGAAGGAGATATGACTGTCGCCGGAAAGGTAAATTCTTTTAGTAAATGCTTCTGATTTTTATTTATATATTATTATTTATAAAGATAGATATTTATAAAGAAGATTAAAAACTATATCATATCGAAAATTTGTCATTTACGATTTATTTTGCGCTACGTTGCTTCGTATTTCTAATGATGACAATTTAGATTAGATCTAGACACAATAATGCATTTTTGTTGATTAAAAATATTTTAAAATATAATTTTTTTTTTTTTGATATGTAGTTGTACAATCATATATAATAAACAGTGAGTAATATTAAAAGATGAAAGAAAAATGTGTCTATATTTATTTTATTAATGAATTATCATGATGTGTAAAGTATTTTAAAGTATTTTAATCATTTTACTTGCCTTTAGTCTTTTAACAACTTTCATTTGGAATACATTTTATCATCGTGCAATATTACCATATATAAAGTGACTGATAGAATTTTCTCAAAAATGAAAAGAGATATGAAAAAATCGTTTGAACGAAAGATGTTTAATGTATATGATGTCATAGTGATTCTATTTCTGTGACTTCAAAATCACTTCCATTTTTTAAATGGATTTATTTTTCGACTCATTGATTGATGTAGCTTGGATATACCTGTCCATGTTAAAAAAAACTACATTATAGTTTAATAGATTCTATAACTTTAATCTTATGAAATCTGCATGAATAATGAGGACAATAATAATATCTCGCCATTCGTACGACAGATTTTACAAAATTAAAGTTGAAACATCGCCTGACTGTAATAATTTTTCGATATATATAAATTAATACCTTTTTGTAGAAAATGTCGATTACTGCTATAAAAGATATATGACTATATATATCACCAAAACATTTTCTCTCTGATAACAAACATTTTCCGCGTTTGAACAATTTTTTTCATATCTCTTTCCATTTTGGAGAAAATTCAAACACTATAGAATCCATTCTGTATCGTGTATTATATCACATCTTCTTTTTTTTTTTATTAATTAATATCGTATTATTTCTGTTGTTTTATAGATAAAAATATTTCTGTCTTATTATTTCACAGATAAATTACTTATCTATGAAATGAATTTTCTTTTATGATAGTTATAATTTTTTGTTATAATCTTTTAAATTTTTTACCATGCATTCCTACAGTACATTCCAAAGATTATTGTTTCAAAGATTTTTGTTTAATATTGATATAATAATGTTGCATTATTAGTTAATATTAATATAAAGATATTGTATTTTTGAACGAGTCAAAGTTTAATTTAAACAATTAAAGTGATTCCTCGAGTAGGAAAGATCTTAACTATAAGATACCCTCCATCATGTTTTACTGTAATGTCAAACGTTGGAAAAACTAAAATGTTAATATTAGGAAGAGAGAAATGAAAAAAGAGGTATCGGAAAACAAAGAAATAGAAGTGACGAGAAAATTTAGGTTTTTAAGCTACAAAAAAAAAATTCGGGACATGAAAATATAAAGGATAAAAAAAATAGCAATGAGAAAAATTTTGATTACAGTGGAAGGGATTTTCTAAAAAAGAGAAAATTTGACCGGAGTGGATGTTTGTAATTAAATAGCTGTAACTTAATTTATCATGACTCTTATAATAATCTATAATATTTAATACGTTTAATATAGAATTTCTTAAAATTGGTTTTCTGTAAGCTGACACGTAATACCAAGTTTTTGTTAGAAAGTTCTAAAAATTATAAATTTCCAAATTGCATATTAATATTAATTCCATTGGATTATAATAATGTCCACCATGAATAAAGATACACGAAATTGATATCGTTATTGTCATCTCTTTCTTTTAGTTGTCTTAAGTTAGTCAAATAGCTAAAACTAGTTGTTATGCAGTATTTTAGTATGTTTCTATGTGAGTTGATTGTCTACGGTGATTCTTAAATATGTACTTGATTTTGGAAGCCCATATTTTTTTTTTATGGCGATTTCTATAGCTTTGTTTTGCTTCTTGGATTTTCTGATGAAAACGATCACTCCTATCTTGCTCGAATTTGTGAAAATCCAATAATGGATTTGCTTCCTTATATACTCCGGATTTGCCATAATTGTTTAAAAAATTTGAAACAGAATAAGATATCCGAAGACAATCGCTCTTATTAATGATGACGATCGAATTTAAATTAATCAATGAACAAACTTTTATATGAAATATCAAAATTTATATGAAGTTTCAAAATGTACTTAATGAATTACTTAAATGAATTTTGTTATTTTTTACGCATTCTATGAATAGTCATTTCTACTTAAGAGGTTTAATGGGAATAAAATTTTATAACCTACGAGGAAAGAAAGTAAAGAAGATTGAGAACGAACAAGTTGTGACTCTTTCTAACCTAAACCTAACCTAAATCTAACCTAAACCCTTCAGTGGCCACCCTATGCATTTGTCGGCGAGGGGGATGGCCTAATTTTCAATGTAAAAGTCAAATGCCCAAGTCTCAATCTTAGTTAGTTAACTGTCTCAATCTTACAATTAGTTAGTTAACTGTCTCAATCTTACAATTAGTTAGTTAACTGTCTCTTGGCAAGCAACTTACACATCCATAGGTATACATGTCCTGCTATAACCTGCAGACCGGTCCCACACGCCCAGCCAAGGCACTTATTGGCCTTGCACATTCTTACATTATGTAATTTTGATTGGCTGGAAACTCTTCTAGCAAGGCAGGCAACGACTTGATTAGAACTCAAATCCAAGTC